AAGGAAAAAGTCCAATCAAAAAAGGAAAAGTGTCAAACAAAAAAGGAAAAGGTTCAATCAAAAAAGGAAAAGTGTCAAACAAAAAAGGAAAAGGCCCAATCAAAAAAGGTAAAGTGTCATTAGAAAAAGGAAAATTCCCAAAAGAAAAGGAAAAGGGTCAATCAAAAAAGGAAAATTCCTATTCAAAAAAGGAAAATCCTAATTCTTTTAAAAAAATATATAAACTTTTCAATTTTTCTTAAATTTATTTATTTTTGTCATTCCTTCTTATTTTATTTCTAACTTTTTGCGATCTCTTTATTTTATTTGTATCATTTCTCAATTTTTTTTCTTCTCATTTTTGTGGTTTGACTGAAAGTCTTGATTCTTGGTCTGGATGGGTATGACTTGGTCTGAAGGTGGGGGGGGAGGGGGGAGCAAATATAGAGATTCGCAAAGAATATGGGAATTGGTTTGTAGATGCAGCATATATGAAGGAAAAATTTATATTTATTGATGAGAGCGGGTTTTCAATATCAATGAGGCGATTATATGGATATTCCCAAATAAATAAAAACGCAATTAAAAATGTTCAAGTAATAAAGACAATAAATTACACTATCATTGCGGCTCTCACAATTGCAGGAATATTTCGATTCGAAGTTCTTGATGGCCCTTGCAATGCTATATATTTTAGCAACTTTATAAATGAAATATTAAATCATTTTGAAGAATCTAACATGATTAATATGATTTTTGTGATGGATAATGTTCCATTTCATCACAATCATTCAATTAGGGAATCGATTGAAAGAAAAGGGCATACATTGAAATATTTACCACCCTACAGTCCGTATCTTAATCCTATTGAGAATACGTTTTTTCAATGGAAGGATTTTGTCAGAAATAAAAATCCTAGTAACGAGGAAAAATTAATTCGTTATATAGAACATGGAGAAAGAAGAATATCTGAAGAAAATGCAAAAAATTATTTTAGAAATATGGAGACATATATCCTAAAATGTAGAAGGGGAGAAATTATTAATGATTAATATAAATTTTTGTTTCGTACTATATTAAATATATATCATAATTGTAATTAAATAATTTCATATGCAAAAAATTATAATAAAAAAGTTGTCTGCCAAAAATTTAGTGAAAATTAAATACTTAAAAGAATTATCAAAAATGAGAAGAAAAAAAATTGAGAAAAGATATAGTGAAAAAAGATACAAATAAAATAAAGAAATCGCAAAAAGTTAGAAATAAAATAAGAAGGAATGATAAAAATAAATAAATTAAGAAAAATTGAAAAGTTTATATATTTTTTTAAAAAAATTACGATTTTCCTTTTTTGAATGGGAATTTCCCTTTTTTGATTGACCCTTTTCCTTTTTTTTTGGGAATTTTCCTTATTCGATTGACACTTTTCCTTTTTTGATTGGACCTTTTCCTTTTTTATTTGACACTTTTCCTTTTTTGATTGAACCTTTTCCTTTTTTGATTGAACCTTTTCCTTTTTTGTTTGACACTTTTCCTTTTTTGATTGGACTTTTTCCTTAACCTTTGGGACTTTTCCTTTTTTGATTGACAATTTTCCTTTTTTGATCAGACCTTTTCCCTTTTTGATTGAACTTTTTCCTTTTTTGTTTGACACTTTTACTTTTTTGATAGAACCTTTTCCTTTTTTGATTGGGACTTTTCCTTTTTTGATTGAGACTTTTCCTTTTTTGGATGGGAAACCCTGTAATATTTTTAAGATATGGAACGATGAAATAAGCAAAAGATTTGGAGAAATCCTGGACTACCATAAAAAAAGTTTCATTGTTATGGAACATTTATCAGTTATTGTTTCCAGGTATAAATATAAAAGAATGTTAAATATAATAATATAATTAGATTAGCATTGGAATTGACAAACTTCAAGGATAAGCTGAATAAGGAGAAAATAGGAAATCCTACTTATTATTTATATTATTGATAAGTTGATAATAACTACTTAGAAAATAAAGAGTAGGTTCTGATATTACTACAAAGCCTATACAATACTGATCCAGAATTTATATTGATTTTATTTACCATATATATTTGAATAAATCCCACAAAATATTTTACTATTCATAAAAAATTATAAGTGTATTTTGTTTCTTTATTCTCAAAAAGGTAATTTTAAAATATTTGAAATGTTAATTTTCATATGAAACCTAAAGTACTAAATGCTAATAGGTTAATAAATTTTGGAAGAAAAGCCATCTGGGATGCAGTAAAGCTAATTTTTATATTTATATTTTATTTAGACTTTTTATGAATAGTCTTGTAGAGTCTAGACAACTAAATGCTGTTTAAAACTGAGGTTTTAAAATTTCTACACTATCTGAAGACAAATGGTACCTTACCAACACTTACAAATGAATCTGCATTGACATATTTAATAGCATTATATAAATTATTTATTTATTATAAAAATATATTATATATAATTTTTATATTGACATTAGATTCTTTTAATAAAATTTTTATATATTATATTTGTCTCTATTTTCATATTTCAATTTAATTTTTCTTATCATTCAAATTATATTAGTGTTCAAATTAACATTTAATAGAAATTAGAGATATATCAATATAATTTTTCTTAATATTCAATTAATTTAGTTATATCATTTAATTACTATGGTTGATATTGAGAATCTATTTATAGAAGCAACAGATAAATCTTATTTAGGTATAGTTTTCACACTATAAAATATTTAAATTATATGTCTTAAATTATATGAAAATTTCAATTGTATCATAAAAGAATAGAATTAATATTATTTTAAGTTTGAGGTTCATTCCTCAAGCTTTAAAATAGCTCAATGGGCTACATCTTGAATAGTGTCCAAATTAACATGCAATAGAAATTAAGGGATATATCAAATAAATTTTACTTTCAATTAATTTAGTTATATCACTTAATTACTATGGTTAATATTGAAAAACTATTTATAGAAGCAACAGATAGATCTCATTTATATATAATTTTTACACTATAAAATAATTAAATTATTCTTAAATTCTAATCAAAGAGAATACAATTAATATAATTTTAAGTTTGTGGTTCATTCCCCAAGCTTTAAAATAGCTCAATGGGCTACATCTAGAATAGTGTCCAAATTAACATGCAATAGAAATTATCTATCAAATAAATTTTACTTAAAATTCAATTAATTTAGTTATATCATTTAATTACTATGGTTGATATTGAAAAACTATTTATAGAAGCAACAGATATCTCATTTAGATATAGTTTTTACACTAAAATAATTAAATTATTCTTAAATTCTATGAAAATTTTAAATGTATCAAAGAGAATACAATTAATATTATTTTAAGTTTAAGGTTCATTCCCCAAGCTTTAAAATAGCTCAATGGGTTACATCTAGAATCATGTTCAAATTAACATGCAAGAAATTAAGGGATATATCAAATAAATTTTTCTTAATATTCAATTAATTTATATCATTTTAGAGATTAATGGATATATCAAAAATTTTCTTAATATTCAATTTATTTATATCATTTAATATCATAATGTCTATAAAAATTAAATATGTAAACATAATTTAATATAAAATATTTCCAAAAATAAATTTTATACAATAATAAATATTTAATAATTTATAAATTTGTCTCTAAGAATTTTTGATTCTATTGAATAAGATTTATTTTCCCTGCTAGGTAAGAAAGTTCTTGTAGTGATTATTTGTTTTAAATTTAAATGCTTATTATTGAAATAATAAAACTTAACGCATCAATTTAAACATGGCTGTGTTTACGTTTTTTTATGTTTTGAAACGCTGCATTGCAACGTTCAATTTGTGCGCAATATAAAAATAAAATATGTATCAATATTGGTTAAATTTTTAAAAAATGTCAGCCAATCCAATATATTTTCTTAAGTCCAATATTGGCATTAAAATGGTCAGAAAAAAGGTATAATCTTTATAGATATTTTGTTATTAAATTTTTCACAATATAGTTTTTAAGACATGATTAATTGAATGAAGATAGATGATGATAAATATCATTTTTTCTACTTTGAACCCTATACAAAAATATAAATGTTTGGAGATTAAAATTTTATCCAAATATTTAAAAAGAGAAGAGTTGACCAAATCTTTATTGATTTGTCATTAAATTTCCACCATTTAAATTTTCATGAATGATAAGTGTTCATTTTGGTCTGATCCTATGTAGAATAAGTTTTGTTTATCTGAAACTTTATTAACTCAAATATATTTTATTACATGGATATTATCTAAAATCTATCAATTTTTTCTAATCAAATTCTATTTTTTTAAACTATATATTAATGTATAAAAATGTAAATCAATAAAAGCTAAATGAAAACCATTAAAATAGCACTATATAAATGATAATCCTGAAGATATATATTAATATATTCTAAATTGTTCAGGTTTTATTTTCAAACGTAACCCAGGTCAGATTTTTTTTTTAAAAAATTTTCAGGCCCAGCCCAAAATTTTTTTAAATTTATTTATTTTTATAGCTAATAATGGTAATTATATTTGGTTAATAAAATAATAATCCAACCAGGTATTTTTTAGACCTAGTCTGGGTAAATTATAAAAAATTAATATACAGCCCAGTCTGGGGTTTAAGGCTAGGCCTGCTCATCTCTTATATGTTATCTATTTTGTAAAATATTTAATGGGGACAAAAGCCTTGTTATCCCTGTGAAGTGCATATGCTTGGTCTTATAGCTAGTTCTCCTCTGTATATAAATTGCAAATGAGCAAAAATTTAATTTTTGATAAAATTACAACATTTATATCATGATCATAAATTTTATTTAAATTGAAAGGGGTGAGGTGAGATTTTTAATTGATTTGATAGTGAAAATCCAATATGAGTCAAATTATAAAAATTATAATTATTGTTGATTGAGGTTTAGCATAGAATTTATATAAAATAACTAAATAATACATTTTGTTTATATAAATAAATTAGATGACTACCTTAAAAGCAAAATTAAGTGCTTGAGTGGGAAAATATCTGATGACATTTGCTAAATTTCCTCTCCAGAATGGTAAAATTCCTTCATTTCTGAAAGTTTTCAAACTACAATCAATAACACCCTTGTATGGCTCTGATAATCTACCAGCCTATCAAAAAAATAAAAATACATTTTTGAGAAAAAAACAAATAAAATGGGTAAAAATGAATTGTAATAAGTGTATATTTACTTTGTTTCTTTACTAGGGCTTATACCATCTTTTTTTAAATATAAATGAAACAAGCCTAATAACTAATTTATTATTTAGGAAAATAGTTTTGCTAGATTACTCATTGCAAAAATATTTATGTATTTAATTTGTTAAAAACATAAAAAGAGTTATATTATACTTTAATCATCTCATCTTGATTTTGAATCAACAATTTTACTCTTTCAATTGGGGCAGCAGCAGTTTTTGATATTATAGCTGCAGCACCACTAAGAATAAAGCTTTCTGCAAAATTTAGCTTGATTCCTTTCTTATGAGAGCCTCCACCATTTTCAGACATCTTTAAAAATTAATTGAATTAAATTAAGATAAAAATTTTTATATCATAAAAATTAACATATTCTAAAAATACAAAACTAAAATATATATTTAGAAAAATTCAATAGAAATGTTATGAAACTAAGTAAATAATATTAATTAAAAAAAATTACAAAAATGTTAAAATAATAAAATAATAAATTTATAAATATTTATATAAAATTTGTTTAATCTTTATATATATATATGTTTAATTTGCTAATTACTTTGTAGGAATAAATTTAAAAGATATAAGAGGCGGAAAACGAAAAGTTGCAAAAATATTATAAAAATATCACCACGAACCCACGATTTAATAAGTAACGTTTATTACAGAAAAATATTAAAAAATTAATTTTAAAAATTTTTTGGATGCTGTTGTTATCGTTGTTATAACACGGTTATTAATTATTTTATGTAAAAATATTTAAAAAGTTGCTACCTTATTAATAATTAACATTTTTTAATTATACATCTATTATCTAAACCATTTTAATATTAAGTGCATGATAATTTTATAAGTATTTCTAATTTATTAATTAAAAATATAATATTTAAAAAGTAATCTTTATTTATGATAGCCTTTATATATGTTGTGTGTTAAAGTAGGCCGGAGCTTTTAAGATCCCCATGAAGTAGGACAGTCAGCCGTGAGTGTGAATATATTATGAATTTCGAGCGGTATTTGGGGGTGACTGGGTTCTCAAAAATCCAGGCGTGATTTACATAAATGACGAAATATTAAAATAATATCTTTAAACTCACATCTTTCCTTGATATTATTACATGATTTTTTCCCATTAAACTAAAAATTGAAGAAATATTATAAATTTCCACAAATTAAAACATTTTTTTTTATAGAAAAAGAATATTTCATAATTTTTATTAAAGTTATCGAATTTTGTCAATTTTGAATCTTTTATTTGCTTTTCCAAAAATTTATAATTTTCTAAACCCTAGCCAATAGTGTTGTTAAAAAGTCCGATTTGGGTTGATTTTGCAAAACGGCCAGATTAAGATTATAGCTAGAAGGATATTATGTTAGCATCGAGATTCAGCAAATAGATATATAAGCATTTCTGCCAACTATGTGCAAAATCTTTAATTTCACATAATGTTATTTTGGTCATAATCTTAATCGGGCCGTTTTTTAAAATCGACCCGAATCGAGTTTTTTAACAATACTACTAGCCAATTTAGTTTTCAGTGAACGATTTTTTCAACAGCCAATAATCGTTTAATAGAGAAATAATGAATACTAAAATAATAAAAATATATTATTTTTCAACTTTTAAATAAATTTATTAATTTATAAATAACTTGATTAGTCATTCATCATTCTTTAAATACTTCGCCTTTTGTGTTGTCGAAAACAAGAGAACTAAGCTTGATTCTTCTCAAGCCCACTAAACTGTGTAAAAAAAAGATATGTGAGGGTTAATTTAAAATAACAAGAATCATCCACTAATTTTTGGCAGGCTGCAGATATTTGTACGCACAAAGGACTAACTTCTTGCTTAAAAGCTATTGGGCATTAATAAAAAATAGAATTTCTTCATTGCTATAAAGATGCACAAGACGATTGTATTTCATGTAAAATTATGAAAATAACTAAGGCAGAATTACATTATTTTTAAAAATCGGTGAAATCTTTGAGCCTGATAAAGATTTTGTTTTACATGAGTGGGCGTCGGTCAAATAAAATTGAATCTCAGATGTGATAAGGAAAGATTATTTTTTGTTGTGAGCGTGAGTGGGCGGCATGTTTAACAAAAATGAAATAATTTATTTTCCTTTCCCTTTTATTATCCTTTCTCTTTTCTTTACCCTTTCTTTCCAATTTCCTTTCCCATTTTTTTCCACTTTCCTTTCCCTATTCCTTTCTCTTTTCCTTTCCTTCTACTATCATTTTATTTAAAAAAATTTTTCCTTTTATTTACCTTCTTTTCTCTTTCTTCCCAATTTCCTTTTATACGCTTTTTTTATTTCCTTCGCTTTTCTTTTATCTTTTTATTTTCCTATGCCTTCCTATTTTCTATTTCTACTTTTTATCGTTTCCCCCCTTTTCTTTTTCTTTTCTTTTCTTTTCTTTTCTTCTTTTTCTTTTCCTATTCTTTTTCTACCCTTCTTTTTCCTTGTTTCCCCTTTTCTTACCTCTTATTTCTTTCTTTTTCTTTACCATTCCATTTTTTTCACGTTTTACTTTTCCTGTCTTTCTTTTCCTTTCGCCTTTTCTTTGATTATTCCTTTCCCCCCTTCTCTTTTCCTTATAATTTCCTTTTTTCTTGATCTTTTCCTTCTTTTCCATTTCTCCTTCGATAAAGAATTAGTCTACGTGCAAGCTAGGAAATGGCACTAAAGCTGACTCCAATGTATGAACACTTTTAATTAATACATTGTCAATTTATTAGTACTAGGGCTATGCCTGAATCCGGCCTTCGACCGGAGGGAGTATAGCAGAGGATTTACAAATGTGGCGGAATCAAAAATTCCACAAATAGTGCTAATAAAAAATGGCACAAGGATCCTAAATCATGAGATATCAGAATTTAAATAAAAATATAATATGGATATGGATATGGATATGGTGTCAGTAGCATCACTTGTGGGGGGGGGGCACATAGGGGCAGTAGCCCCCTAAAAATTTGAATAGCCCCCTGAAGCGAAAAATAAATCTTCTCAATACCTACTAAAAACAAATTTTTGATAGCCCCCTGAACTATTTCTTTTATAAATCTATTAAGTATTATATATAGATTATATATTATTATTTAAAAATTAATAAGTCTATCTGAATTTTTATTAAATGAGTGCTTATTTATTAAATTAGAATAGATTAATACATAATTCACTATATCAGTAACAAATTTAATATTGTAATTAGCCGAGTTCAAAATCATTAATCAATTATATTATTCATTTTTAAATTTAACTACGATGGCTCTTCCTAAAAATAATTTTAAGGTCCAGATAAGTATAAGAGATTTTTTTGTAAAAAGTAAGTAGACATATAGTTGATAATCCTCTATTATATAAAATTGATTATAAACATTTTACAGAAGTATTTGACAGCTATAGAATATAACAGTTAATATTTTAATAAATTTTACTAATAAATGCTTTTGATAATAATTATAAGTAACAATTTGCATACATTTCTTTAACGCCATCTATTTTTAAAAATATTATATTATTCATCCCACAATGGATATAATCTTATTAGATATCTTTTCTTCTCTTTTTTTTACGTGTTTTTAGGAAAGCTATCTTTTTTCTTTCCTCTTTGAAAAACAATTTTGAGTTAAATTTTTAATACGAGTATATTTTTGATATTATTACGAACTACTATTAATTTAGATATAATATACCAACTAGAGGTGGTGCGACAGTAACATATAAAATATCAATTGCTTTCATCATATCACTCTGGTCCTTATTTTATAGTTACAAATGTTTTATTTCTAATATGGCATCCTTGCTTGTGTAAATAATTCAAGAATCAGGGTTGCCATGTCTACCCCATCAGCGGGAGTAGTTTACACGCAGATATCTCTCCTGCAAAACTACCGCAATTGGAAATCTCCCGCAAAAATCTACCGCAATTTTGTAATTTCTCCGGCAATTTTTTTAAAAAGTTTTTAACGTTTTTTAATATATAAATAATAATTTTGAGAGACAGTAATTGATTATTTTTTTATTTTTAAAATAGATTTTAAATATTTATTCGAAAAACATGTCTAGTTTGTAAATTTCTTTCTATCCTGTTTTATTTTTATCCAATAATATATCAATATCATTTCATTCATCAGTACAGGGGAGTATATCAACATCGATTGCAATACAAAAATATTCTCCAAAATAATAAATAATACAGATGCAACTACAATTGCGGAAATCGTATACATCTATCGTGTAGTTCAACATTCACAGAGCTATATCATCACAATGTGGGTCGAATCTTTTTTCCATCATATTTAACGACTCCAATATAAGTGCAAACCTTACTTGTGGTAGAACAAAAATGAGCAAAGCTATCACAAGTGTTTTAGTACATGAATTCTACACGATTTGAAAGATAGGTATCCATATGCAATTCTGACAGATGCATCTAATAAGGGAAATATTAAAACATTTCCCTTGATCTTTCGCTATTTCAACAAGAATAAGAACATTTCAATAAAACTGTTAATTTTTTCCAACGATGTAGCTAAGCACATAATGTAAATTTAGCTGATTCAGGGTTAACGATGAATTGCATGTCAGCTTTCTGCGCTGATAATGCCTCTGTAAATTTTGGCAAAAACCAAAGTGTATTTACCGAATTGAGGCAGCACAATAATGAATTAATACCAATTGACTGTATATGCCATTTACTACATGATTCTTGCAAGAAAATAATGAATGTACTATCTGTGGATGTCGAAATTATTATGATAAGAAGTTTAATTCACCAACTAAAAGAGTTATTGAATTAAAAGAGTTGGTGGAGTGGTCTGACTTGGAATGGTGTGAGTTGTTACGATATGTACCTATCCGGTGCTTATCGTTAATACCTGCCATCGATAGAATTTTAAAATTTTACAAACCATTAAAAAAAATACTTTTTAAATAAAGATTTTAAAAGCTGTCCTAAAATTTTGAAAATTTTTTTCAAGTATGAAATGGCAGAAGCATATTTGAGATTAGTTTCACATGTAGGAAATCTACTTCATGCAGTTAATATTCAGTTGCAATCAGAATATTCTAAGATTCACAAAATCATGCTACAGCTCTGTTCATCTCTACAGTTAAAAATTGATAATAAATTTTATGACGCTATTGCTAAAAATATTAAATGTTCAAATAATACTCTAATTAATACATTTTTAAATGAAGCAGATATTTTTATTAAGACAATTTTAGAATATTTACGATCAAAGTTTGATTTTAATAACTATATTTACAAATGTATAAATATTATGACCTTGGAACAGAAACCGTCAATTGATGGTTTTTGTAATTTAATAAATATATTAAAAATACCTAAAGACATTGATGTCTTGTTTGAGGAGATTGTAATTTTCTCTATTTTTTATGATTCGCCAGAATACTTAAAGTTAGATTGCCTATAAGCAGAGGAGAAACGGGTAGAATTTTTTTGTAATAACAATAATTCCCCATGCTTGGAAAAAAATTGAGAGTATGTCTTCTTTACCTCATTCTAATGCCTCATCCGAGCGCATTTTTAGCCTGATGAGGACTGTCTAGAAAAAGGATTGCTTTAACAACATTATAGGCCAATCTAATGGTTAAATAAATTTATAATATATCATGCCAGGAATTTTATATATATCTCAATAATGACGGTAAACGTTT